GATGGAGAGTAGAGACAGAGAAAGAAAAATGGGAGGGAAGGCACAATTTAATTTAGGATCATGATTATTGGTTCCCTAAACATAAGGGGGGAGGTTCCAAGCTGAAGAGAAAGAATGTCAGTAATATTATTCATAAAGGCAAAGCAAATATATATATTTTAATTCAAGAGACTAAATTGGCAGAAGTAGATAGCAGTATAGCTTTTAGTTTCATGATTAAAGATAAGGTTGGCTGGCCATTTTCGAAGTCGAGGGGGTTTTCAGGTGGTTTAATCACTCTTTGGAGGGAAGAGGTGTGTAAGGTGATTCATAGTTTTAAGGGTGACGGTTACCTTGGGATCAAACTGTGCTGGAAGGAGAATTTTTTATTATATTGTGAACATTTATTCTCCCTGTTAGATGCATCTGAAGAAGAGTATGTGGCGGGATATATTGATTTTAAGATCAAAGTTTACAGACGGGGAGTGGGTTCTTAGTGGTGATTTTAACTCAGTTAAGATGGAAAGGGAGAGGAAAGGTAGACACTTGGGCAGGGGAGCTGAAATGAGAAGCTTTGATGCTTTTATTTTGGATACCAATTTGATCGATGTCTCTTACAAAGGAAAGTGTTTTAATTGGTACAACGACGGTGGCAAGTCTATGAGTAGGATATGTCACTTTCTGGTGGAAGATTCGATTATTAGTAGATAGGGGATTGTTGGCCAGTTGATTTGGGAGAGATATATATCTGATCATTGTCCTATATGGTTGATGATTAATAAGGAGGATCGGGGGCCTAAACTGTTTATGGTCAACAATAGTTGGTTTGAGAATAAAGATTTTCTCCCATTTGTAGAGAGGGAGTGGAGGAGTTTGAGGATAAAAGGGAGGGTATATTTTATGTTAAAAGAAAAGTTTAGATTGTTAAAACTTAGGCTTATGTGGTGGAATATTAAGGTTTTTGGGAAATCAATTTGGAGATAGAGGAGGGTAAGAAGGCTTTGAATGAGGTGAATGCTTTATTAGTCTCTTGTAGGGAAGACCAAGTGGAGGAAGTGGTGGTGATTAGGAGTGAAGCAACATGTAAAATGTGGACGAATATGCGAATTAAAGAAAACATGATCCTTCAAAAGTCTAGGTTAAAGTCGAATTGTCAGGGGGATGATAATAGCAAAAATTTTCATATTCTGATGAAGGCTAGACGTAGGAACAATTTCATTGGGCACATTTCAACGGATTGAGGGGTTGTGGAATCAGTGAGTGATGTTAGGGAGGCGGTCTTGAGGCATTTTGAAGGAAAATTTGTGGAACCGAATTATTCTCGTCCTATCCTTGATGGGATTGATTTAAATTCTCTCCCCGAAGCAGAGAGGAACATGCTGGAGGAACTATTTTCGGAGGAGGAGGTGAAGGAGGTTGTTTGGGCTTATGAGGGATCAAAAAGTCTGGGGCCTGATGGGTTTAACTTTTATTTTATTCGCAGGTGTTGGACCTTTATCAAAGAAGACTTCTTCATGTTTTTTAATCATTTCCATTTGTATAGCAATTTGTCCAAGGCGATTTCTTCTTCTTTCATAACTTTGATTCCAAAGAAGTCCAACCCTAGGGATCTCGATGATCATGGGCCGATATGTTTGGTCGGTTATTTCTACAAAGCCCTTTCTAAGCTTTTAGTTGTGAGATTAAAAAGGAGTTTGTAACTTTTGATTGATAATAGTCAAAGTGCTTTTGTTCCGGGGAGGTTCCTCTTAGACGGTGTATTAGTAGCTAATGAGGTAGTGGATTACGCGACAAAGACAAATAATGGTTGTTTGCTCTTTAATGTTGATTTTGAGAAGGCTTACGACAAGGTTAGTTGGAACTTTCTTAGGTACATGATGAAGAGGATGAGGTTTGGAGAAAGATGGATAAAGTGGATGGAGGGGACAATTTTCTCTAACTGGATGTCGATTCTAGTAAATGGGAGTCCTACGAAAGAGTTCAAGGTTAGAAGGGACCTTAGACAAGGCGATCCTCTTTCGCCGTTTTTGTTTGTGATCGTTGAAAAAGACCTCGCGGGTTTAGTTAAAAGGGGTGTCCAAATTGGGGATTATTCTTGTTTTCCATTGAGGACAAGTGCAAGGTGGATGTGTTGCAATTTGCAGACGATACCCTGTTGATAGGTAATGGGAACTGAAATTAGGTTTGGATGCTTAAGGAAATTTTATGTGGGTTTGAATTGGTGTCGGGGCTCGGAGTTAATTTTCAAAAAAGTAGGCTTATTAGTATTAATTTGAGCCAACATTTTCTTCAGGCTGCTGCTTTTTTCCTCTCATGCGGGTTAGAAGAAAAGGATTTTACTTTTCTTGGCATTCCTATAGGATCAAATTCAAGAAGGGTGTCGTGGTGGAAGCCAATGATTTCTAAGATAAGGAATCGTATCGCGGTTTGGAAGAGTAGGTTTCTTAGCTTGGGAGGAAGAATCACTCTTATTAAGTATGTGTTATCTAGCCTTTCCATTTTTCTTTTGTCCTTCTTTAAAGCGCCGATTAAGGTTTATAAGACGATTGAGCATATTCAAAATAAGTTTTTGTGGGGAGGTTTATCCGAAAACAGGAAGATTCATTGGTTCGGTGGGAGTCTCTGTGTTTACTTTTGAGAAAGGTGGTTTAAGTTTTAAAAGCTTTAAAGAGTTTAACATCGTTTTATTGTTTAAATGGATATGGAAAATTCTGCAAGGGGATTTCTTCTCTTTGGTTGGACATTTTGGAAGTTAGATATGGCAAGCTGAAGCATCGTATCCTTACGAGTCAATATCAGTTTTGGTCGTAATTCCAAATTGGAGTGGTGGACTGACTTACTGCGCATTGAATCTAAATTTCAGTCTAATGTTCTTACTCAGAATTGTGCGTTTCTGTTGGGGTCTGGTGCAGATATTCCATTTTGGAATGCAGTTTGGAACAATGATACCAAACTCATGAGTGATTTTCCTGGGTTATATTCCAACAGTAATTTGAAGGAAGCTTCAGTTGCTTCAATGGGAGAGTGGAAGGAAGATGGGTGGTCTTGGGGAAATTTTGGCCTGCCAGTGAATCTGCGATACGCGGAGACGCTGTTAGCAGAGCAACTTCGGTTCCGTCTTTCTAATGTTAGTCATGTGTTAAGAGAGCTTGACAAAGTTATATGGAAACCGAACGTGGAAGCAGGTTATACAACGAGAAGCGGTTACTGCATTCTTTCAAAGTTGAATTATGTTTCTGGTTTGTATCCTGGGACTGCTTTGATTATTCGTTTTGTTTGGAAATCACAGGTTCTAGCTATGATCAAGGCTTTCGAATGGAAGACTTTAGTGAATTGGCTACCGTCGAAGGACAATCTGCTGAGTAGAGGTTTGAATCTTTCGCCAATAGAATCTCTATGTTCCTTTTGTTCGGCTGATTCAGAAACTTTGGTGCATTTTTTTTGGAATTGTTCATTTACCAAAACTTTGGGGCATAGTATATTTGCCTAGTTAGGGGTCGCGTGAGATTTCCACGGGCAAATTTGGAGTTTCCTGCATAATTGGTTGGTGGAATGTGGAAAGTTAGGATGAAGAAAAGCAGGGCTAGCGCAGTTCTGTTGACAGTTTTGTAGAACGTACAGAGTACTAGAAACAAAGCTACTTTTAATGGAATTAACCCTTCTATCTCTGATTTAAGTTGGGATATTAAGTTAAATGTTTATGGACTCGGATTGAGAATATTTCTACTATCATGTGTAACTTTTATGATTTTTGTAAGGATCCGTTGTATCATTTGCGTTAAGTTTTTGGTTTTTTTGAGTAGTTTTCGTGATCGTTTGTAAGCGGGTTTGAATACCTCTAATATTTTTTTAATATATTCCTTGCTTATAAAAAACAATATCAAGAATATACTTTACAAACAACTTGAATATAAAATTCACCGGCTAAATCGTCCAAAATAATAGTACAAAGTTAAAAGAATTTTTTTTTTAAAGAATAGTGGATGGGAAAAGAAGCTTTCATATTAATACTTGTAGAGTACAAAATTCAGAACGAGTAATGAAATTGGTCCCCAGTAGTACTATTGAACTAGTACATGCTGCCTAGTGAGTTAGTGACATAACCAAAGTGAAGCAAAAGCCAGTACCAAATAGAAACAGAAATAAAGTGATATAAATATCATCATAGTGATTGTGTTTCATCAAGTAGTGGGTTCCACTATGACACTGCATAAAACCAAAAGTAACCCTACATGTATGTAGTGTTATGCATCTTGAGAAAATTTCAAAAGCAAAATCAAATCCCCACAATTCTTATACACCATTACATATTTCTTTAACTATAAGTCTATGGTTTCTTAGTATGCACCATTTCATCTATTTATAGGACATTGGTACAGCTAACTTTTGCCCTTAAGTTACATGTTAAAAAATCTATACATAATTAATTATCTTTAAAAATATTGAAAAAAATTATTATATATGTGTAGTAAATTTAGTTCTTAACATGTATCTTTAAGAAGACACATGTTAACATTATCTTTAACAAAATATTATAATGTTTAATTTATATATTTCAGTTGAAATTTGAATTATTTTTATAATCTCATATTCAATAACGAACATGAGAGTAAAAAAAAAAAAGATTTATAGTTGATAAATTATGTTGTTACTAGAAATTGTAAATAATTGTGTTATAAGTTTTATATTCTATAAATAAACTCTTAATAAAGTGGCAAGATTGGTAATAATGTAAGGGTGAGAGACTTTACAAATTGCATAAATCATCAAAAATTCCTCCCCTTCTAGAAACTCACATAGACACAAACCCTAATACATTTTTTTACCAAATCTTAATACATCATACTATAGAACTTATAATAATAATAATCTAATATATAAAATAAAAACAATTGACAACTTGACATTAAAAAAAAAAAAAAACAAAGACTAAACACAAAACAAACATGTTGTTACAATCAAGTAGCAGCAACAAGTAGCAACCAAAAGCCATTAACAATTTGCAACCAAACTTCATGAAATCAATACATCAACATATCATTAGAGGCCATAATCGTTTGATTAACCGGAAAAGTGTTCCACGTTTCGAAGAATCCACAATCATTGAAGAACTGATCCGTTTCCTGAAACAGTGAATTACTTGATTCAATGTAGTGGATAATATCATTGAGTGATTGCAATCTGTTGCTTAGTTCAGCCATCTGAACCCTAAGAATTGCATTCTCAGATTCAACGTTCATGTACATCTGAGTAGTTATCCCTACGTTTGCTGTTATTTGATTATTCTCTTTTTTCAGCTCTTCGATTTGTGCAGTAAGACCTTCCATGTGTTGCTGTTTCTTCATCCTTGATCTTCGTGCTGATTCTCGATTTGATTGCATTCTCTTCCTCTTCTTTTGATCTGTTATATTCACCTGCATGGGAATCATATTCATATCTCCCTCTGATCCAGATCCAGAGTTTTGAAGAGAGCTTGTACCAGATGAATAAGCTCCGACGGGAGATGCCATGTGATAATTAGGGTTTAATAGTACTATTTTTCTAACTATAGCTAGTTAATTTGAGTAGATTGATAGAATTAATGAAACTAAATTTTATATTCGAAGGTAAAAGAAGGTGAATTAATAATTCATGAGAAAATATAAAACCAGTATAGGAAAACAACGGAGAAAGATTGAACTAGATGTGTTCTGCGTCTCAGGGATGAGTTTATCATAGAGATCTCAGAGATTAATGGAGACATCTGTGATGCTTTTCAATCATTCATAACTGTATGAACAAAGGAAATAAAATTGTTTTGTGGGGTTATGATATAAGAGCAAAAATTACTTAGATGGTTTTTGTGGAGGGTTTTTAAGGTAGGTATGGATGGTTTATGAGGATGTTATGGATATGAGATGGTTATATATATGAAGAATAAAATTCTTGATCTAGAATTTTGAAAAGGGTGTCAAAGACTATGTGCTGAAAAGATAAACTCTAGTTTATGTTTGGGAAAGAAAAGATGATAAGAAAGAATAAGAAAATGGAACAAGAGAGATGAGTTTTGACCAATTTTTAGAGGAGATGATAAGAAGAGAAGGAAAGAGGTTTTGATGGGATTCAGTGGTTGAATTTATAGAAAAATATGATTATGGCAATTTGAATTATTGGATTAAAATAATATTAAAAATGGAGAATTGGTTGGTTTGGTTGTAATTAATGGTGTCTAGTGTATAATTAAAACAAACATGTATAATAGAGATAGAAAAGGACAATGAAAGTGGGGGCTAGGGGATCTGTATCCAATGCTTGTAATTTAAAATGTGATATTTTATAACTTTATTTATGATTGAATTGAGTTTTTTTTTTTTTTTTGGTACAAGTGATTAAATTGAGTATGGTTGGAACAATTTAGAGTTTAAATATATCTGGAATCTTCATAAATATTTAATATTTAATTTTAGTTTTTTTTAAAAAAAATTTAAAGAAAGAATAATTCTCTTAAAAAATTTTATAGATTTTTTTTTTGCCAAAATCATTGCTAATTTAATAGTTAAATAATAAATCGACACTAAAATTATTGTTAATTCTATTATTAAATTATAAAAATCATTGCTAAATTACATTAGTGACAAAAATATAGATAGAATTTTAAAAAAAATCATTCTTTAATAAAAATTAAAAAATTAACGAAAACAAGGAACATATTTAATCCTATAATTTAATAAGCTGTAACAAGGTGAACCCGTGAGCAAAAAGGAAGGGACCTGGAAAGCATGAGACAGCATGACAATAGCCACTATTACTATTGATGTGCACGCGTACTTATAATATATAAACAAAACAATTATTTATTGAAAAGTTAAATGTTCATGTACGTATAATGTTTGCTTTTTCTTTTATTATTTACACTATATTTGAGTGAAATAAAAACTACTTAAATTATCTTTATGATAAGTAAATTTAGTTATTAATAATATTATAAAAGATATCATATTAAATCAATTTCGTTGATATAGATTGGACTGAGGTTTTTGATTCGGTATTTTAAGTTGGTCTGTTCCGCGTAATCCGCTTTAAAAAACGGATCGAAGCGGGGTGAGACGGATTTTTCCGCGGACTTTTTGTTAAAACTTTTATTTTTTTTATTAAGAATTAAAATAACTTTAACTATAAAAATAACACTTATCACTGATTATATTATAAGTTATTATACAAATAAATTGAATTATAATTATAATGTTCTTTCTATAACTTTCTAATATATGTGTTGATTGAAAATGATTGAAATAAAAGAACAAATGTATGACATGCATAATTATTAAGTTTTCAATTTATTAGCTGAAGTGTTTTTTTTAGAAATAAATATTGATTTTATGATAAGAAGGAATTTGATTAGTGTATACGTGTGACAAATTTAGAATTTAACTATTAAAGAATCAGACAATATAAGAGTCTATATATTGTAAACAGTGAGAAAGTTCGGTATTGATATTTTACGCATTACTATTTTATGCATTGTGATGTTTTATGTAATGTTATTGTTATCATTGTTGGTTTTGTGTAAATTCTAAATTGAGTTCTTTTAATAGTTAGTTTTTAAATAGGATTAGGATGATATGTATTGTTTATTTATTTTGATATTTTTTTATTGTGCTTGAGTTTATTTTATTTTTTTTAATTATAATTGGTCTTTATTTATTAAATTTTTTGAATTGTTTGGACTTAAGACATCTTGAAATTCTATTATGCGTTGTTAAAAAACTGTCTTTATCGACCTCTTTGATAATAGTTAAAATTTTTTTAAATTATATATTAAATTAAATTATAAAATTAAAAAAATTAAAAATTGACGGGCCGATCCGCCAACCTGCCAATTCATTAGTAAACATAACAAACTTTATTTTTAAACTCAGACCCCTACATTAGTCCGTTCTATCCCGTCTCATTTTTAAACAAACTTAAACGGAACGAGCTTAAATGAAGCGCTATCCACTTTATCACTCTTTTATATAATAAGTGTGGTGTTACTTTGTAAATATACTCAACCTTTTATTTAAGCACCAAATGTGAATAGGTTCATTGTGATACTTTTATAGCATTAATTAGCCTTTGGCAGTTTTACCAAATGGCAACTTAGTATGGTGTTGATTTGCTACTTTTTTTTAGGTTGGACCACTTCTTGTTTGTAATTTTTTTGTCGATAGAATATGCTCTTGGAATCTTAGGGGTAAAGAATGGTAGTTGGAGTTTTTTATTAGAAATAGAATGAATCATTTTACCCTTTTCTTATATTACTTATAGCAGACGTCTTAGTTTTTTCTTCTTCTTTATTTCATATTTTTATTTGTTACTGTATTTAAATTTAAACTAAATATATGACCAATCGCCATGAGTGATTGTTGAGTGAGCTGCAAAACTTTTTGACTTCTTTGTCAAATTCAACTTTTGATATTTGTTTTGTCATGTATAAATGAAGTTTGCATAAAAAATAAAATATTCGTGTAGGACTCTTATTTCTTAAACATTCTTAGGACAAAACTTCTTAAACATACTTGAAATTTTCATATTTATATTTTTTCAATCAAAAAATAAATATTATTTTAAAATATTACTAAAATACTAATTATTTACTTTTTATTAATGAAATTTTATTTACTAAATTGTACTTTATTATTTCGGTGATTTTTTTACTTTAATTAATTATTTTATTAACAATAATCAATAAAATTATTTTGATAAATATTTAATTTAATTAAAGTGTTTGTGTTTCTTTCTATTTTTTTAGTGGAATAGAGGATGTTAACTGGGAATTTCGACTACATAAGTTTTTAGCTGAAATGATATATTTTAAGAAGATTGTAGGTCGAAAGAAAGAACAAAGAAGTCTTTGTTAAAATTTTGATAGATGAAAAGCTAATAAAAATTTTATATTTGCTAAGTATTGGCGAAAGATTCATATGCGAACCATTGAGATTTTAAGTTATTCGAAGTATTAGAAAGAATATTTCGACCGTCACATTTATGATGTTTGCCGTTTCGAAGACAAGGGGTTTTCAAATTTAAAAGTATGATCTTATCTAAAAGAGACGCGTGGAAGCATAGAGTTCAAAGGCGCATGCAGATGTCGAACGTGACAACATCTTATTTAGAGACCGTTTTGGTCGAACTTGTATAAATAGGGGTCTTAGCGTTATGATTCAGTGTGTTCACATCTTTGTACAAAATACTCTAAATTACTCAAAGTACCAGTGTTCGAGAAACGATTAGTGAGAATGTATGTATGATGCACTGATTTTGTATTTATTGTCATTCAACTTTAATTGAAGTTTTATACATTTCCTTAAAATTTCAGTCGAAAGCCTTTTACATTCCAGTCTTTTCTTTAAAGCATTACATTACAACATACGAAGTAACAATTGAAATCAACTTTGTTTAAAAGAATAAGAATGTTGTCAAAAGTATTTGATCAGTGCATATTGATGCACATTTTCTTATGTTTGTACTTAGGCATTTCCATGGTTTGTTTTGTTTATTTTTCTATTTTATGATGTTTTTATAATTTAGTTTATTTTTATCTTTAATTGATTTTCGTATTTTATTTTCAGCATTAGCAGCTTTCAATAAAAAAAATCATAACTGCAGCTTCGGGAATCAGATTGACGCGTTCTATTATTTGTCGGAAAGCTAAGAGAAAGATTTACAACTTTCACGTTGGAGTCAAAAGCTGATTCGACCTGCATAAGTTCAAGTAATTCGTTGAAGTTTCAGACGTTAGAAAATAATCCGTTCCAGGTCGTTTTATGGGTCTGGTTTATGTTTCTGACCCAATTTGACTTAGTAGTGAAAAACCTTATTTTGTTTATAAGGTTTTCAGTCGTGCTACAGTAGAAAACATTATTTTCAACGACATAATTTTTGCTTTGTACGAATCTTATGGAGAGTTAAATTTTCTTTGAGTTGATCTGCTATATTTATGTTCCGATACTTGAGGTTAATATAATTTTCAATTTAATTCATATTCCTTTCAACTCTATTATATGTTCATCGTTTGCTTAATCTGATTGTAATAGAATAGTTTTGTTTGGTTCGATTGATTTATGTTCCCTAATTTTCATTGTGTGTTATCGTTTGCTTAATTCGTTAATTCGCTTATTTTTAACTGTTTACTTAATTCGGTAAACAGGAAACATAATTCTTATAATATCATTCTCGCTTGTTGAATGTTATTGTGATTGAACAAGAATAGTATCCGCTTAGGAAGCGATATTATAATAATCAATGATAGGTAGGAACCGAATTAGCAGATTAGCTTATTTTATAATTACTTAATTTATAATCACTTGTTTTCTCTGTTTTCATAAAAGATCCTAAAACTAAAAACCCCCATAAATCGTTACTACTCTTAGTTAATAAAGACAAGAATCATTGCGATACGACTCGAGTCATTGTCGCTAACTACATATTTTAAAACAACTCATTTTTGATCCGCCCGCAACAACGGATCAAAATTGACGCTGTTGCCAGG